AGGCATTCCGATCAACTGAACCTGAACTTGCATTTGAACAAGATCCTCAGGTGATTGTCAAGCACATTTCAGTTTGAGAAGCGTTGATTTAGAGAAAGAAGTTTCTAGACACCTATGATGAGTTGCAAATGGTTTCTGCTGATTTATATTATTATTTGGACTCCTTCCTTCTTTCCTTACTTCAACAAATAGTAATAGGGCACTTCCGATGGTGGTTTCTGGGAACACATTGGCATGTGTCCCTGCCTTGGCCTACAAATTCCTGCTCATATCCATTTTCTCTGGGCCCTTCTTTTCGTTGACATCTATCTCTTGTCTCCTTGGACTGACCCACTCCAGTTTCAACTCTTCCCCTCTTCTCACCTCTTCACAAAACCTAGAACCAGAATCCATTTGTCCTTCTGAATCCATTGTGGTAATTTGACCTTGAACTAAAGACAGCTACTACTTTGAGTGTTCCAAGACCTGAGTCTGGGTGGCCCTGGGGATTGCATTGCTTAGTGACTGATTTCAATCCCTTAGTTCTAGAAGCAGAGCAGAAGGTTCTTGAACCAATCTTGTACCTTCACTGTAGCACACAGCCTGGTTTCATGACTTTGGGAGCTGTGGTAAAGAATCTTACTACTCAGTGTATGGTTTATGGATCAGCATCACCTATACCACCTGGGAGCTTGCTAGAAATACAGAATCTTGGGCTCTGCAGCCGAATTATTGTATCAGAATCTGCATTTTAACAAGACCACTAGGAGATTCATGCACACGTTCAAGTTTGAGGAACCTGAAGCACTGGTATAGAATAGTGTTTCTGAAATTTTGCAACATATTAGAACCACATGGGAACTTTTAAAAATCCAAGCGCAGACTGCATCTTAGGCCAGTTAAGTCATAGGATCTTGGGATGAGACGCAGGCATCTCATCTTTGATTGTGGTAAAATATACAAAACGTAAAATTTGCCATTTCCTCATGTTTAAGTGAACAAGTCAGTCGCATTAAATACTTTCACACTGTTGTGCAGCCACTGCTACGGTCTGTTGTCAGAGCTTTTCATCATCCCAAACTGAAACCCTATACTCACTAAACACTAATTCTACTTTCTCCCTTTTCTCCAGCTCTTGGAAACCACATTCTATTTTCTGCCCATAAATTTGATTGCTCTAGATACCCCACAGAAGTAAAATTAAACAACATTTGTCTTTTTGTGTCTAGCTTACTTCACTAGTACAAGGTCAAGATTCATCCACATCAAATTTCTTTTTTAAGGCTGAATAGTATTTCATTGTATGTACATGCCATATTTTGTTTATCCTCTTATCCATCCAAGGACACTTGGGTTACTTGCACCTTTTGACTATTGTGAACAATGCTGCCATGAACATGGGTGTACAAATATCTCTTAAGCCATCTCTTCTCAATGGTTTTGAGTATTTACTCAGAAGAGGAATTGCAAAAGCATATGGTAATTCTATTTTGGAATTTTTGAGGAACCACCATACTCTTTTCCACAGCAGCTGGATTGTTTTATATTCCTACCAGCATTTTCATCAACATTGTTTTTTTTTTTTCTTTTTTTAATCACAACCATTTTAATGGGTGTGAAACGACATGTCACTGTGGTTTTGTTGGTATTTACTATGTAGTTAGTGATGTTTCATTTTCTTACTGGCTATTTGTATATCTTTGAGAAGATGTCTATTCAAGTCCTTAGCCCATTTTGAATCAAATAGTTTCATTTTCTGTTGTGTCCTAGGAGTTTTTTAGTTATACATTCTGGATATTAATATCTAATCAGATTTATGATTTGTAAATATCTTCCCCCAATTCTATAGGTTGTCTTTTCATTCTTTTGCTAGTCCCTGATGCACAAAAGTTTTTAATTTTGACGTAGCCTATTTTATCTACGTTTTCTTTCACTGACTGTGCTTTGGGTGTCTTATCCAAGGAATCATTGTCAGGCGTGAGAATTTTTTAAAAACTCCCCGAGTGAATCTGATGTACAGCCAAGACTGAGCAATGTTTTTCTCATTTTAATGTGCATTCAGTTCACCTAACATCCTATTAAAATGCATATTCTGGTCTGTTAAGTCTGGGGTGGGGCCCAAGATTCTGCATTCTAACAGACTCCCGTGTTGATTCTCTAGTCCCTGGTTCATTCTGGGTAGCCGGGGTGTGGAGGAGCATTTTGATGATTTCCTCCATCTGAGTCCTGAGATGAGAGGTTGATACTTATCAACCGTCTCCTAAACTTCCTCATCAGCACTGTTTCCTTATCCACCATCAAGATAGCACACCCCTTACCAGCTAACTTTCCACTAGTACCAAGGAGCCCTGGTGGGTACGTGGGCTGACTTTGGCATGTCAGGAGAATGAAATATAAAGGACACATTCCCCCTGCCCCACTTGCCAGGGGGAGCCCCCCCCCCCCACTGGTTCTGCCTTCTGAGTGAATTTAGGATCCACATTCATGCTGGTTGTTTCTCTCTAGCCTTGGACCTTTTGAGGGAACTACTGTAGGACCCTCCTGGAAAGCTATTTTATTCAAACATGTTTAATATGCTGAGAAAAGAAAACCGTGCAGGTTGGTTTGAAGATTACAGAAGAAGCTGTGTGTGTGTTGGGGGGCAGGGGGTTGCTGAAGGTCTTTTTCCCAAAGAAAATCCTTTAAACCATCACAGAATTTTAGAACCAGGAAGGACCTTTCGAGATCTCCAAGCCTTCATTTTGGAGGAGAAACCTGGGACCCAAAAGGTTGTGTTGTTCAAGATCACCAAGAAAAAGAGAGGTTGACCTAGAAGTGCCCTGTTTCTTTTTCATCTTGCTTTTAGTTATTTATCTGGAAATGAGTAACACAGAATAGTTTTTTTCCCCCAATTAGCTCCTTTCATTAAAAGCTTAACTTTTCAGAGAACAGATAGAAAGCAAGAGACTGGATCACAGTTCTTGCCCCTCACAGTCTTCATTAGAAAATTTCTAACAGTCAGGCTTGTATTACTTGAACAGGACCCAATGCCTGGTGGCACTGACTCAAATTATAGTAGGTATATGCTTCTAAGGAACTTGCTTCTGGAAGGCACACCCAATGCCACTTTCCTCTTCCACACTCATTGCAGATGCTGTAAGCTGATAACTCTTCCCAGCCGCTGCCAGTCTCTTGGGTTTGGTTCTCAAGTTGAAACTCATTTGCTGTCCCTTCAATAGAAGTCATACCTTGAAAAGTCCAGTGACTCAAACCCATGCTACATTTCATCACGTCTTTACACAGGTTATTAAACACTCTTTATCTTCCCCCCACCCCCAGCCACTCATTATCCAATTATGAGTTTCCTTTATCCAATCAAACTGCCTGCCAAGTCGTACAACTCTTATGGTGATGCATTTGCCTTTCGTGACTAGACAGTCCAGTAGAAGCTGCTGTCTTATTCAGAAGTTTCTGTTCTTTGAAATGAACTCAGATCTGGTAGTGCAACTCCCAACATGCACCCAACGAACATGCCACAAGACCTCCTTCGCCCAAGGCTCACCAGCAGTTTCTGCCCTGCACTTGGAGCCCCGCCCCAGGTCTCTCTCCGGCCTCTCCTCCAGCCCGGCACCAGGGAGGCTTCCGATCTTGGCTCTGAAGGCAGTGCCTGGGCCTTTCATTTTTGTCTCTGGGCCTTTGACCTGGAGCAAGCTCATTTGCTGGCAGGAGCGTCTGTCTCCATGTAGGGAGACAGTCTTCAGATCTTCCTTGCTCTTCCCTCATTAAGACGTCAGTCTCAGTCAACCTTGTTCTCAGCCGCCAGACGCACTGTCGAACCAGCAGCAAAAGTCCCATCAGGAAGAGGTTTGCTGCCTTCTGAAGGCGGGAAGATACACTTTGCCTGGCAGGACTGGGCCTGCACAGACTCTGTGAGATGTCCCAGCAAGCTTTTGGAACACTCTGAGGTCTAATTCTCCGCCTGCGGGCAGAGTCTCAGGGCGGTGCCATCTGGAGCATTCCAAGTGCCTCCCTTGCTCAGGCTCAGAGAGGGTGGAGTCCTTCCACCTCCCTGGCCATTCTCATCTGTCTCCTGGGTGAGTGCCACCGGCTCCCATGGCCCCAGGCTGCTTGGCAACACCCTGAGTTATGTTAGAGATATAATAATGAATTATACAATGCATTATACATAATTAATTTATAATAAAACACGCACGCAATGGTTTAATTTCTCCAAGTGAATGATGTGCTACCCGCCAGACCTTGCTGGAATGCATCCCCTGACTGGCTGCTTCTTGGTCTGGAGGCAATGGCCAGCTGCCTTTGGGAGGGATCTTGGCTCAGGGAACTTGCAAGTCACAGATTCCCCTCAGGCTACTTTTGGAGTCTGTCCCAACACCCCACAGGAAGACAGCCCCCTGCCTCTGCTGTTCTAGGCCTGGATGCTCATGGGGGTCTTAGCCTCACCTCTGCACTCTTTGAGAGTGGTTATTTTCTGCATTTTTTTTCAATATTTCTCCCAGAATGTGGAAGATGCCTGTGTATATTTCCTTCCTTCCTTCCTCAAATACATATTGGGTGCCTACCGTGTACCCTGCCCTTGGCTTGGTGTCCTTCATGAATGAAACACACAAAGTTCCTTGCTCAAGTGGAGCTTATATTGTAGCAGAGGAAGATAGTAAATAAGTTTAATGAGTAAGTAAATTATATTGTATGTTTTATGGTGATAGGCACTATAGAAAGAGAAGGCAGGTGCTCCACCGTGATGGGGCAGGTTGCAATATAGGGAAAGGTCTGTAAAGGCTTGTGGAATAGTGTGGCATGAGAGGGGAGAAGGCACTTCTTCTTTTTTTTTTTTTTTTTTGTGTGTGTGTTGTGTGGTGCGAGGGATTGAATCCAGGGCCTCACACATGCTAGGCAGGAGCCCTACCACTGAGCTATAGCCGCAACAGAGAAAGGCACTTCTGGGCTGACCTGGGACTGGGTTTCCCTGGGATACTTCGGCTTCAGGATCTTCCAGTAATGTTCATGACTTTTGGTTTCAGGTGTCCGGGATGTTACTGTTCCCGCTACTGCTGTGGTTTCTGCCCCCCACTGAGGGGTCCCAGAGGACTGAACCCATGTTCACTGCAGTCACCAACTCAGTTCTACCCCCTGACTATGACAGCAACCCCACTCAGCTCAACTACGGTGTGGCGGTCACTGATGTGGACCACGATGGGGACTTCGAGATTGTTGTGGCGGGGTAAGTGCCTCCCACCCAAGGTGTGACAGATATATTAGCTGGCTTTTGCTGTGATATGGTTGTGTTACAAATAACTCCAAAACCCAGTGACTTGTGACAACACACATTCTCAGTCATCGCCCTGTGATCCTCCGCAGCTCAGCCACAGCCTGGCTGGGTTGGCCTGGGTGGGGGTTGCTGTGGCTTCGCCTTTTGCCACAGCAGGAAGTTGGAAAGGACGGCAGTGTGGATGGAGGCTGTTTGATGCAAGGGTTTTCTGGGGCTTCAAGACTCTCTCTTCCCACTATATTTATGGCTCATACAGGAATTACCTGCTTCGGGGGGGGGGGGGCTGTAGGAGATATACATAGGAGTGGCTTAAAGATGGCAGCCAGGTATGAGGAGATGCTCAGCCTGCTTTGCACTATGTAATTTGCATAAAACTGAGAAAACAGTTGCTCATTTCAAAGAGGAGAAGATGGAAATCAAGAGGTGTTGTTAAATCTCCTTTCACCATGCCTTGGGGTCCACTGCTCTCTTCTCTCAAGAAAAAGCAACCTTGTATTATAAGAAACACGTAGACTTGGAGTTCAAATAGCTTGAGAGAGAGCCCTAGGTGTACAACTTTCTAGTTGTATGATCTTGAGTGAGTGCCTTATTCACGGATTCAAATGCATGTTCTATAAAACTGGGGGGAGGTAGCTGTAATGACCTGTCCTGAAATTTCAAAAGCCTATTGCACGTGACAGTGCATTGTCAATTCTGCCAATCCCCATTGGTAATTATTATTTATCGAACACTACTATGTGTCAGGTCCTGTCCATCATCTTATTTTGCATGCATTGTTTTATTCCATCGTCCTGACAACACTGTCATCCCCATTTAGAGAAGAGGAAATTGAGGTTCAGAGATAGTAAGCAGCTTGCTCTCTTGTTAAGTAAATAAATAGTAAGTGGGACGAGTCAGGACTTGAACCTTAAGGCTGCCTAACTCTTGAGCTATCAAGCTGCACTGTACCAAGCTTAGTTATCACTTCAAAAATCAGTCAATCAATAAAAACACTACAGGGGCCTCTCGGCCTCATTCTGGGAGGTCTGAGTTTTATGGAGGGACTGAACAAAGTACCAGCAGGTAACATTATTTGTAGCAGTTGCAGGTAACAGTAAAAAGCATGACCTTGGAAATGGAAGACCTGGTTTTATTTTTTTTAAATCTTATTTATTTATTTAAGTACTAGGAATTGAACCCGGAGGCACTCTACTACTGAGCTACATCCCCAGCCCTTTTTAAATTTTATTTTGAGACAGGCCTCACTGAGTTGCTGAAGCTGGCCTCAAACTTGTGGTCTTCCTGCTTCAGCCTCTCAAGTTGCTGGGATTACTAACTTGCAAAACCCTGCCCTGCGGAAGACCCAGTTTTGATTTTAACCATACTTAACCCAATAGTTGTGAATTCATTCAACTCCGCAGACCCACTTTGTTCATCTATAAGATGAGCATATTGAAATCTACCTACATACCTCACAGGGCAATCACAAGGATCAGTAGTGATGATGTAGAGGACAGATACTTTATAAAGTGTATTTCTTCTTTTACTATCCATTTCTTCTATGCTGTGAAGAGGAGCAGTACTAGATTGTAGACCGAAGAAGTGTGCCATCCTATAGAACTTCCCATGAAGACCTAACCATTCTCCATTGGGACCGCCCTGCTTGGTGTCCATTAGCCACATATTGCTGTTAACCACTTGAAATATGGCTCGTGCGATCAAAGAACTGAATTATTAATCTGATTTAATTTTAGTTAAATAGCCACATTTAGATTGGACAGTTCAGTTCTGGTTTTCCAGATGGAAAAACTAAAAAGCAGATTGTGACAGGAAAAGAGGAACTAGGAATGATGGTAGCAACCCTTTTCACCCGAGGTGAGCTGAGCAGAGTTGTGGGCTGCGCAGTTGTCCTGTGCTCTGCCCTGTGACTGCCCGATCTCTCTCTGAATCAAGGAGAAGCCCTCCTGGCCAAGTCTGTGCCCAGCCAGACTTCCAAAGCCATGTTCCACCATGCCAAAGTCTCCAGTTAAAGGACTTTGATGTCCTTCTGAAATGTTCTCGTGGGCCCTGTCTCCTGCTGTGTGACCTCAGCCTCCCCCTGGTAGACCCTGGGGACAGAAGACAGAGAACAGCAGGCAATCAACCATCCTCTCCTCCCATGCATGCCCACCCCCAGCCCCAAGCTACTACTATGAACATGCTGTCCTTTCATCTTGGTTGATGGTAGGACCTTGTATTCCCATAAATTAATATGGAAAAAACAAGACCTTAGATGTGAACAGGTCTCCTCACCCTCGTTTCCTTTCCTCTGGAACACCTGGAAGGAGCTACAGGGCCCAGCACGTGAAAAGGCTCTCACTGTCTCCACAGGCATCTCTGATTTCAGTAAATCGTGTCCACTTATGCCACGAAGCCAGCTCTGGTTCACACAACCTGGTGCTCCCTCTCTCCAGCCACGTCAGGAGACCTTAGGATTTCTCCTGCTCCGTTGCTCACTTTTCTCCATGGGTTGCAGAGGGAGGTGCAGAAAAGGCCTGAAGAGCTGAATCTGCCCCCTACAGAAGAGCAGTAGCCTCTGGAAGCTTATTTGTCTCATTTCCTCACCATCCTGCCCCTTTCCCTGGCATCTCTCTGGCTGCACCACCCTCCTCATGATTCATCTTTCAGCTGCAAAGAACCGATCTATCAGAGAAGGTCTTGTCCCCAGGCTGGTCCTGGCCTAGGTCTCTTTGGGAAGAAGCAGAACCATTTGACCATAGAATTTTTGGTGTCTCCTTGTCCTTTCCAGGTCAAAGATGATGCGCTATTCACGTGCCCCCACCCCGAAACCATATGCTGAGGTCAGTCGCAGAGCAAATGTGACTTCAAGTGTGGGTCTCCATCCCACCCATCCGCTGATGTGCAGGGGCTTGCTCCCACATTTCCTGCAATTTCTTTCTTTCTAAGCACTGGGCGTGCGTTTCATCTTCCTCTTCAATGAAGTCCTTTTCTCCTCCTCTTCCAAGGCACTCAAGACATTTGCTTTTGTGTCCTCTGAGGTGGAGAAGCTAGATCATCATTTGTACTGAACTTAGAGTAGATACCTAACCCTTGTCTAGCTTGCTGCTTCCTGTGGGTCCTGTAGGACTTTGGAGTAGTCCTCTGGAAATAAGAACCAGAACAAGCAGCACTTGATTGTGGGTGAGACCTGGAGAAAGACCCCAGTCTTTCCTCCCAGGGAAGGGCTTGTGACAGGCAGCCTCTGTCTGAGGAAGCTTGAGCTGCTGGCTGTTATTCTGAAAGATGGCATTCGTTGCTCGTCCTCAGCAAAGGATAAGAGTTACGCAGAGGACAGGATGGCGAAATCAGGCAGCCTCCCAGCCCCAGGTCAGAGTTTCTTTGTGGCTGTTGTGAAGCATTGTGAATTCTCAGAGCATCAGACAGACACGTTCTAATTTAAGTACCAAAATACATTCCAAAGGCAAATATAACTTTTTATTATCTCCAGCTTAGGATGATTTGTCACTGTCTCCTCCTTGGGGCTGGATAACCAAGAGTTGACTATACAGACATATTTAAATCAGGACCTTGGGAGGTCATTTGTCCCACCCCTTGCCTTCCAGTAAAGCCACACCTAAAGTATTTGGAAGCTCCATTTACAGAGAGCCATCCAAGGAAATGTGTGCAATCATTTTGCAATCCAGCTCAATAGTTACTTATGTCAAAAACTGATTTGACTCATCTGAATCCCTCATATTAGAGCTTAATCGGCCATTTCTTTTAGCTTTTGTTTTGCTATTGCCTTTGAAGATAAAAACCAAGTGGTCACCATCCTTTCAAATAATGACAGCTAGGATCACTGCCCTGCCTTTCAGCCCACATGGACTCCTTGGCAACATTTCCGATTTTGACTCTCATTCTTGTTTCTTTCACCCTACACCCATATTTAACCCTGTGTCTTTCTCTGATTGTAGATTCTGTTTAAGAATCATGTAGCAGGAGTTGAAATTTAAAAAAAAAAATGAATTTGAATGCCTTTCTCTGGAGCACCTGCTGTCTTGCTCATGACAGGCCCACCTTCTATTATCTTATGGATCTTTCCATTACCTGGCCCCCTGAAGTCACTTACCTTTGCAACCCCTGGGATAATGGCCAGCTCTTCAGTTTATAAGGCGGCCAGTACTTGAACTTGTCTTGGATTGGTTGACCTTGAGTCACTGTGTCTGACTCAAGCCCTGTTGCTTTGAGTATTTACTCTTTGAATAGGTTTGTTTTGTTTTGCTTTTTTTTTTTTTTTTTTTTTTTTTGGTATTCTCGTTCTGGATATTGACGGCATTGATTTTGAGCATGTTGCGGTGGGTTTGTGTTGTGTTTCGGATTCTTGAGTTAATTGTGATGGAAGGCGTGTTCGTGCCTCTGACTCTGGGAGGAGCAGAAAATGACCGCCCTTTGTTCTGCGGGGAAGGGGGAGGGAACGGGCCGGCTCGCTCTGCTCCTCCGCCACAGCTGGGCGAGTGCCTCCGCATTTGGAGGGCTTATCTGTTAAGCGGCAGGTGCATGATTGCGGTCTGTGTACAGCCGCCTCCCCGCGGGGTGAGGGTTGGATTTGATCACCCCCAGAGACGGCCACGCACGCACGAACCACTGAGGATCTTCAGGAACGGTTCCCCGGGTAAATGGAAAGCCCAGTGGCCTCCCTTTTTCTCAGTGGAACTCAACACCAATCTACAGCCTCACAGTCTCACCGAGTCTGGAAAGGAATTCCTGTTGGTGTCAATTTTGTACAATTCCTACAGAGCAGCTTTGTTTCCCGGGATATCCCCGGAGGTCTGAGATAACCCCCCTGCCCTCTCAGTCTCCACCAGGCGTCTGCTCAAATGGAAAGAGGGTAGTGGTTGTAAAGTTTAAATCACGATTTAGATCGGTTTTTCTACACAAAGAGCATTCATTTGATAAAACCTTAACGCATTCTTCACACTTGGAAGGGTTTCATT